CGCGAACTAGAAGGTAGTGTCATGGGGGTCGGGCACGCCCGGTGATGCTCGTGGGGGCTGGAGCCGCCTCCCGGGGCCAGGGGCGGGCCAGGCGCGCGCATGTGTGTCAAGCCCTCGGGGCTGCAAGGCAGTTGTGGGAGCTCTTTACTCAGACTCTTAGGGTGCAAGACCAGAAAGTTGGTCTTGTTAGAGAGTGTAGCGGCTTGTAATGATGGGTCTTGTCTCAAAGTCTGTCCATTTGTGTTTATCCCTGATGAAAGTCACGTGTAGTGCCACCTGAAGAAATATGGATACCAGAAGTTCATCTCATTGAGGAAGAAGAAAAGACTTGATCAATCAATTCACTTTCGTTCCATATCATCTTAGAAATGACATTTTCTTCGCCTTGATGATTTGTATTTATAAAAGTTTGTGATACTTACTTCAGAAATAACCCTGGGAAACCTTTTAAAGTTGGCAGAAGGCTTTGCACGTATGTGCAGTGTCTAGTATTTGTTTGGGATCTGTGGAACAGTTGGATTGTGTTTCAGATGTGTTGTTTTCTCCCTAAATTCTAAGTTCCCGAGTCTCTTTCTTTTTGTAGATGCATCATGATGTGGCGGCCAGGAGGTACACTGGGCTGGGTGATGGTGTGGGTACCAGGAGTGTAATATTAAACATACAATTGGAGGGAGTTGAGACTCAACTTGTTAGGAGGGCAGGCACTTAGTATTAAAATTATCCTTAGTGTCCCTGCATTAATCATGCATTGGTTACCAGACTTAAAGTAATGTAATTTCTCTCTCTTTATTTTCTTCCTTTTTCTTTTTTTGTATTCAGAAATATATACTATGTGATTCCTTACAGTCAAAAGGTTAGGTAGTTTAGGATAAGGCTTCGACAGGCGTCTTCTGCATAATGCAAGCCGAGTGCTTAAAGAGTGTGAGAGAGAGAGGGGTCATTCCAGTGGCTGACATTGGAAGTGATTAAGAGGAAGCTCAGTAGCGGGGTACAGACAGATTCCGCTAACAAAGGAAAATGGAAGTTCCTGACCGACCGTGGGGACCACCAGTGGAGACCCCACAGCAATGCTAAGCGGCAAGCCTGAGAGAGACACAGTAAGAAGTTCGGTCTGTTTACAGACTCTTACCTGAGGCAGCAGTGACGATTATTGTTAGAAATGCCTTCTTGGGAAGAGCAAGATCACGTGACCATACAGATTTAGGTTGGGGTATTGAGTTATCTAAGAAAAGGGGAGAAATGCTGGGGAATGCTTACATTCCTGGGAAGAAAACCAGAGTTATCTGAGACAGATAGATAGAAATATCTGTGGTCACTCACTGGGGATACAGCAATGGCATCTCAGTGCTTGCCTGTCATACGAAAGACCCGAGTTTGATCCTAAATACCGACACAAAGAAAGCAGCATAGGTCCCAAGGAAAGGATGTATTCCTTCAGAGACCCTTGCTGAACAGAGGAGAGTTCTGCAAAGGTAGCTGCTTGGCAGTGGTTTAGAAATGATTTGGCGAAAGGAGTTTGTAACAGTATAGCTACAGGACCTCCTCAAGCTTGGCCACACAGCAAAGGAGAGAGTGGCTGCAGCCAGAGGGCTAAGGGAAGGTACTTGACTAGTGTTTGCTTTCCAGGCCAGTGGGCTTGTGGCGAGGCTGGACAGACAAAGGGAGGCGAAAGGGTGTTGGTGGTGTCTGTCTCAGTTGTCAGAACACAGGACTGCACACCGGGAAGGGGCTCAGCGACGGGAGCTTCTCACCGCTCTGGAGGCTGGCAAGTCTGAGATCCAGGCAGATGGTGTAGTCGCTGGCTTCCCAGAGTCACCGAGGGCACCTCCCGTCTGTGTCACTGGGTGCAGAGGAGCCAAGAAGCTTCCGGAGCTTCCTCAATGCGCGCTCGTGTGGCCGTCCTGAGGCCTTCATCCTCATGATCTATGGTGTCCCAGAGGGCCCTACTTGTGTTACTCATTTCCAGAGAACAGAAACATTCAGGACACAGGATGGGACCGGACACAGGTGTGACAGGACACAGGTGGGACCGGACACAGGTGGGACAGGACACAGGTGTGACAGGACACAGGTGTGACAGGACACAGGTGTGACAGGACATAGGTGTGACAGGACACAGGTGTGCCCTGATACTGCAGAGCGGACAAGGCAGGAGAGAATTGATTTATGGTCACAATGGGATGGTGGCCAGGCGCTGCGACTTGTCACGATCTCTGTAAACTTGTATTAGAAGAGCTGGGGTAAAAGTAGGGATTTGGAAAAAAAAAATCATTTTGAAACCTTGTAGAGAATAAGAGAGATTCTGAATACTTGAAGGACAGTATTGTCTGTTAGCCGTTTCAAGTGCTCATAGCTCTCCGTGGGCTGTTGGCTGTCATATTGTCCAGCGTGTAAGGCCAGAGACAGAAGATACTTTCTATCTGTGATAGACAGCATTAATTTGTGCGAATGTTATGCTAATAGAGGTTTAGTGTTCTCCCAAAGCGAGAAAGTTTGGAGGCCCCGGAGACTTCCAAACAATTGTTGAGAGATAGGTATAGGTAGCTACTTCCCTTCAGACGGTTTACCCCAAAACTCAGTAAAATTATTGTTAGTAGTAGAAAAGAATTCCCACTCTGCTTCTACATTGTGATCCACACCAGAACATGGTACATTTTCAGTCTGTCCCGATGGCAAGGCTTAAGAGTCCCACTCCTTGGGAGGTGGAGATAGGAGAAAGGCAAATTCAGGTCCTGCCCGCACTAGAGTGAGTTCAAGACTAGCCTTGGCAACTTCGTGAGACCTCGTCTTAGAAAAAAAAAGGGCGTGTATAAAGCCCTGGGTTCCGTCTCTGCAGCCACAGAATAATAATTGCATTTTAGGCCTTTACCATTTGTATGACGTTTGACTCCCTGCAACAGGATCTTGCTGTTAAGCCCAGATTTCATCTTCCACAGCCTTCCAAGTTTAGGACTGTACATAGCTGTGTATGTGCCGCTACGCCCACTGCTTTTCAACTCTGCCAACACACAAAGTAATTGATTTCACTATGGCACCCCCCCATCCTCGTCTGTCCTCTCCCTTACCTCTCCCATGCCTGTTTTTATCGATGCTTCATCAATTGATCCTTGCAGCAAACCACTGCATCATTGTCTCCATTTTTATAGGTGACAGCTTTTTTTTTGCAGAGGAATTTGAGTTTGCTTCAGTAGTAAAGATACTAAGACCTGGGTTTTGGATTTTGGTCCGTTTCTCTACTGTGCCAATCAGCGTTGCCTTCTTTATGTACAGCAAAAAGTACTTGTGACTTGTAAGAACCCAGGAAGTTAGCCTCTTCCTAGTTCACCGCTAAAATCCTTGTGTGCTTGTTACAATGCCTGCCCCTCCTGCTTGCTACACAGTTACTGTAGCTTTTTACTTGACAGCTGGGTTTACACGGCCTGAGAAACAACCCTTAGCTGACCTTTTGGTTTTGTGCTTTGTGTTATCATTTTGTTTAAAATTAACTTCTATAGGTTCAGTTCATCAAATGAACGTGTAGTTGTGTGGAATTACTTAGAGGTTTTTTTTTTTTTTTTTTTTTTTTTTTTAAAGTTCTCCCCCAACCCTCAGAAAAAACCAAAACTTTACTTTCTAGAGGAATTCCATGTTGTCAAGGTAACCGTTATTGTCCCAAAATATTTTCTGAAGCTAGGCATAAATGAAGGCATATATAAAACTCCCTCCTTGTCGTATGCACGCTTGTAATTCTAACACTCAGAAGGTACAAATAAGAGAATCTCTGAACGCTAGAGGCTAGCCTGGTCTGCTTCATGAGTTCTAAGCTGGCAGGGCACATACCAGCAAGAGCAGAAGCCCTCCAGTGTGTCTTTTAAGTAATAGAATTTTCATTTTAAATTTTGGGAATTTTTTTTTAAAGATTTTATTTATTATATATACAACATTCTGCCTTCACATATGCCTGCACACCAGAAGAGGGCGCCAGATCTCACTACAGATGGTTGTGAGCCACCATGTGGTTGCTGGGAATTGAACTCAGATCCTCTGGAAGAACAGTCAGTGCTCTTAACCTCTGAGCCATCTCTCCAGCCCAAATTTTGGGAATTTTTTGTTGTTGCTCTTGTTTCTGTTTTGAACAAAGAGTGTTGTCTGCATGTTGGTTCATCTTATGAAGGACCTGTAGCCTGCACAGAGGTTCTTTCCAACATGCTTAGAGACCTGTTTTAGGCCTAGTGATGCCGAAGTAATTCAGCATGTCTCAGGTCTGACTCATTTGTATTAAAAGCTGCTCGAGAGTCTTGACAGCCAATCCAAAAGAGCCCGGGGCTCTAGGAAGGCATTCTGGAGCGTCAGCCTTTGCATGACTAAGGAGGCGCCAGGGAAGCTGTGAGATCCACACCCTAAGGTGCCGGCATCATGCGGTCATGGCCAGCCAGGCATATCACATGCTGCATTTATTGTAGCGGTTCTTAGCATTCCTCAACTATTGACAACGAAGTGGTGATTTCTTTAAAGAGGTCTTTACAATTACCTGTCCCCGTGGTTCTACTGTCGTGTGACTCAGTGATCTGATGTCATGAGTTTGGACCAGGATATTTAAGGAAATATATTTGAGGTAAAAATTTTTGCCTAACTTTTGAGAAGTAATGCCCATTCATTCAGTCATTCTGTTTTCATCCCTCCTTATTACCTAAAAAACAAACAAACAAAAAAAACCCCCAAAAACCATCTTCCAAGATTAATGGTCTGTATTTGCAGAATTGAGGGCCATGGAAGCTGTAAAGACACAAATGAGATCTGCGGGAAGTGGGTCAGCCTGCGGTTGAGGGCTTGGAGGCCTCTGGGCAAGCTAGGCCCCCTAGTGATTCACTGTCAGAAAATCCTGTGTACCAACCTTCCTAGTTACTTCTTGCTTTCTGTCCTTTACCATGGGGCAGATGAAGGGAATGTCAGTAAGAAACTCTGAACTTGAGAATGTTTACGTTTATTTTACACATCTTAAATGATGATAAACTCATGAATGTGGACACTGCCTCCTTATCACACTTAGAGGTCAAAGGCAATTCGTGTCTGAAGAGCTCAGAACAGGGTCTGGGTGCTGAGTTCATGAGGGCGGGGCTGAGTGTGAAGACAGAAGAATAAATGAGAAATGGCTTGATTGTGTGTTTAAGTGGAGGGGAATACTTCGATTAGAGCTTCCATGTTGGTTATACTCAAATCCATGGACAGAGATGTAGAAAAACAGCAGTTTTCTCCCACTTATGCCATTTGTAGATTTTCTGTCTTGTTTATTTGTTAAGTTTGCCTGAAAATACTGGATTTATTGTGTCATTTTCGACAGACGTGTGCTACATTGTTTTAGTTCCCCCTCCCCCCTAGTCCCGGCTCTTGTTCATCTTTGTTTCCCTTCCGTTCTCCGTTACAGTGTATTCACCTCTTCTTGTCCCTTCTTTCCCTTCCCCAGGCTGGAGCTGCAGCTCAGAGGTTAACAGCACTTGCTGCTCTTGCAGAGGATGGGGTTCAGATTCCTCTGGTGGCGGGATGACCCAAGTGAGCTAGTTAGTCCTTTTTATTGATGGCTCCTGCCATCAAGAGTGGGCTCGCGCCAGCTCTTGGTGCCCAGACTCAGGGGTTCAACACTTTAAAAGGCAATCAATCACGAAGACCATAATTTACATCAAAGTTAGAGGAGGCTGGAGTGGCCTTGAAACTACCAGCTGGGGAACAAGTGTTCAGATGCTTGCCACTGTGGGGACATTCAATTTATCTTCTTTTTCGAGACGGGGTTTCTCTGTGTAACCCTAATTGTCCTGAAACTCTCTCTGTAGACCAGGCTGGCCTTAAACTCCGAGATCCCTCTTCCTCTTCCTTTGCTGGGATTAAAGGTGTGCACCAGCTCCCCCCCTGTGGGGGACATTCTTATACAAACCATCACAGTCAGTTTCAGAGTCTACCCTAATGATCCTCTGGACTTCACTGGACCCTTTTGTCACGTGACCTTTTTCCTTTCTAACTTCATAGATTAGAATCTTCTCTTTGTTTTAGTTTGGCCAGGCCTTTGTCAATCTTGTTTATTTTTTTAGACTTTTTTTTTTTTTGACTTTGCGCATTGACTTTTCAAGCCTTTTATTAGCTGCTGCCCTGGTCCTTATTTGCTCTCTAATTCCTTTGGGTTTGGTTTGTTTCGGTTTTTCTAAGACATCGACGCGCATTGTTTGCTAGTTACTGAAGAGCTCTCTACTGTTTTCAGGTAAGCTGTCAAAACACTAAACTTTCTTTGGAAAATTGTTTGATTTATTTACTTTTTTATTTTTTTGAATTGAGAAGCTTTTTTAATTTATTTTTATTTTATGTGCATTAGCGTTAGTGTTTTGTCGGCGTGTATGTCTGTGTGAGGATGTCACATCCCCTGGAACTGGAGTTACAGACAGTGTGAGCTGCCATGTGGGTGCTGGGAATTGAATCCAGGTCTTCAATTAGGTCTCTTAAGCACTAAGCCATCTCTCCAGCCCCCAAAAATTGTTCAGTGACTTGTTTCATTTGATTGTAGAAAATTTAAAAAAATTTCCTCTCTGCTTTCTGGTCGTTCTAGAATGTGCCATTCAGTTTCCAGGTACTGTCCAACTTCTTTAGTTCTAGTTGCTGTTAATTTCTAGTTTTCTTCCACTGTTGTCTGATAAGACAGCAAATTATTTGGTTCTTTACATCTCAGTTTGTGGCTGACAGTGTTGTCTATTTTAGCAAAGGTTCCACAGGCTGGTGAGAACGTGTTCTCTGTGTCTGTTGGATAGAATATTTGTGTGCAGTGATGAACCATTAGCTGTGTAGCGTAGTTTAACTATCAAGTTTCTCATTGATTTTTTTAAATTTCAATGATTTATCTAAGCAGCGCTATAAAGAAAGGGCTCTGTATGCCTTGCGGGTCTGAACTCTCGTAGGCCTGCCTGCCACGCTGTCTTTCCATGAAGTTAATTCTATGAATAAATCTCTTGCTCAGAAGGACAGCCTGCCTCAGGGTCCCCCATGAACCTCAAACCCCAGCCCTTTCAGTGTGGTCTTTTGGAGGAGTGCTGTTGCTTTTATTTCTGGTATGTCTCTGTGTTATGATTTGTGCATCTTTTGGTTTTGAATACCTTCGGGGTATCGTGGAGGGTCTTCGTGAGTAGCTGGGCATGGGTGAGCCTGCCTCCTTCCGCTCCCCTGCTGTGAGCAGCACTGTGTGCCTCTTGGCTGGCATTACCTCTCAGCGGTGTCCATCTTCTCCTCTGCCCTCGGTACGCTGCTCTGACACTACCTGTGTGAACTCCTGAAGCTTTCCTCTTTCTCTCTTTGCTGATAAAGTCTGTCTTGCCTTAATCACTTAAATCTTTAATCACTTAAATATCTTTTTATTTTTGTTGCTTTCTTACTTTGTCATCCTTTTCTCACCACTTCCTCCTTTCCTTTTCTCTCTCTACCTCCTTCCACGTCTGCTCCTTTCTCTTCTTTCTCCGGTGCTTCCGCTTCACTGGCATGGAGGGAGCTTCCAGTCTGCCGTCTTACCTGCAAGTCTTCTGGGTATTTTTAGAGCTGTCTGAGTTGCTGTGTCCGTGAGAGGTAACTAATTACATGTGTTTTAGGACTTCTTGTATCAAAGTCTCGACCCTGTGTCTCAATAACTGAATGAACTTAGTTCCTCCTGCATACCTCAGTAATCTTACAAAATGGAGATGGCAGTGTTCCCTGCTTCTAAGGATATTAGTAGGAAGTTCATTGTCTCACACTGTGAGCTTACGGTCAAGCCTTGCATACATAATTCCTCAGCACAGATGCGCCCTTACGGTATGGCCTGTTGTTATCATCTGGTCTATACGTCAGAAATGTTAACACTTCTTCTCTACACCTTGTGATTCTGTTCCAGTCACGCTGCCGAGCGCCAGGATGAAGCAGTTGCCTGCAGCAACAGTTCGCCTCCTGTCCAGTTCCCAGATAATCACATCAGTGGTCAGCGTCGTGAAAGAACTCATTGAAAACTCCTTGGATGCTGGAGCCACCAGCATCGACGTGAAACTGGTGAGTGCCATGCCTTCACAGCTAATGCCGGGGCAGCCAAACGGACCTGGCAGGTTTTCCTGAGAGATTGTTGCTGTACGTTCATTCCCACGTGTTGGGCGTTTGGAGTACATTTTAAAGAGTAGATTGTAATTTCAGCCAAGGTTATAGTAACACTAAAGGAAATCACAGAAAAAACTTGAGCCAGATGGGGGGTCGTTCACCCAAACACTCAGCCTAATGTCTGTTTTCTTTTAACGTGTGTCCTTGGTTGTTTGTATGACTTAAACCCGGCCTCTGAACACACAGTACATGTCTGCAGTGTGATGCTGCCGGGACCCGCCTATAACACCTCCCCGTGAGTTCAGACTGTTGTATGTGGTGAATTATTCTTACTTTACATGCTAGGGTTCCTGTTCTCATAGACACATACGCATTCATTTATGAAAGCAAAGACTGGATATTTTCCTGCATGTAAGTCTCTTTTATTCCAAATTATTGTATTGTGTTAGGATGTTAGGTTTTTAAATTTGCTATATTAGTTAGTGACTGAACTTCCATAAAACAATCATTACTTGAACTTTGGGTTGGGATTAGCGTAGCCTGCCTCACAGTCTCTGCTGTAGCCTCTCTTCGACATCTTTCTATGGCTGTGAAGTGACTCCGTAAACAAGGGAACTTAAAGGAGAAAACATTGAGTGTGGGCTTTCAGTGTCAGAGGGCGCCTGAGAGCATGCGGCAGGCAGGCACTGCAGTAGCCGAGAGCCTACATCCTTATCCTCCAGCAGGAGGAGAGAACACCCTCCGAGACACACCTCCTCCAAGGCCACATTTCCTAGTTCTCCAAATAGGTCCCACCTACTAGTGGGACTAAGCCTTCAAATATATGAGCCTGTGAGGGTCATTCCTATTCAGACCGCCACATTCCCCCCGCTGGTCCTGCATTAGTCAGGGTTCTCTAGAATGTATGGAATGACTCTCTTTACATATGTGTGTGTGATGAATCTCTCTTTCTCTGTATGTACGTATGTATAGGCTTCCAGCAGAAGGTGTGGCCAAGATTAAATGTGTGTCTTCCCGCCTCAAGATCTTCCCTCAAGATCCAGATCACAAGTGTGCCCCCATTTCTGGATTATCGTTCATCCAGATAACAGTCAGGTTGACAACCAAGAATAGCCAATAGAGTCCACAGAGACTTGTAGTCATATCATAATGCAGGGTGCATTTACTTCACCTTCAGAAGTCACCACCGTCTCTCACAGTCTGAGCACCTGAAAAGTCCAGAGTTCCTTCTGACATTCAAGGCAGTCTCTTAGCTGTAACTCCCAGGAAAATCAAAATTAAATTGTATATCTCTAACATAAAAGAGCACAGAATAAATACACAGGACCACTCTAAAATGCGGACAGAGTGTATAGTATAATAAGGAAACCCAGCAGGGCGAAGTGTAACTATATGTGGCACAAGGTGGTACCATGTATCTTAGGGCTCTTATGGCATGGGACAAACCTGCCATCAGAAAGATGATGTTTATCATTCATTACATGGGAATGAAGTTTATTGGGGAAGGGAGGAGAGAGAGAGAGAGAGAGGGGGAGAGAGAGAGAGAGAGAGAGAGAGAGAAAGAGAGAAATGGCAGAGAGAGCAGGAATAGGCGTGGATTGTTTCTTAAAGGGACCTTTGCACCTGCATACAGACTACCTAGTGACGTAGCAGGACAGAAGGCCCTGGGCTGGCCAGGGTACTGCCTGAAGTGTGCAGTACTTGTCACTCTGCCCCTGCCAGGTCCCCAAGGGAGAGGGCAGGTTTGCATTTGCCTGGATAATAGCGCTAATATTCTCCTGAGACTTCTTGAGTTAGGCCTCCATAATCCAGATTGCTTTCGGCACCACTGTCTTCCAAGATTGTACTGGGATGGCCCATTTAAACCTGCTTTCAGCATTCAACAGCTTTCTTCCCCGAGGTCCAAATGTTTTCCACATTTCTCCAAGCAGCATCATGATCAGGTCTGTCATAGCAATACCCAGTCCCTGGCACCAACGTATGTCTTAGTTATTTTTCTGTTGCTGTGAAGAGACACCGTGACGTAGCCAATTTAGAACGTGTTTAGTTCAGTTACAGTTTCAGAGGTGAGTCTGTTATTATGACAGGGAGCGTGGTGGCAGCAGGCGAGCATGGTGCTGGAGAAGTAGCTGAGAGCGACGTTCTGATCCACAGCTAGAGGCAGAGAGAGAAACTGGGCCTGAAGCTTACCCCAAGAGACACAACTCCTGCTGTACCAAGGAGCACAGTTGTAGAATGTCTGCCCAGTTGGGTCTTTAAATCCATTCTCAACCTGTGGGTTGAGACCCCTTTGGGGGCAAAACGACCCTTTCACAGGGGTTGCATATCAGATAGCTTGTATATCAGGTATTTATATTATGATTCATAACAATAGCAGAATTACAGTTATGAATTAGCAGCGAAAGTCAGTTTATGGTTGGGGTCACCACACCATGAGGAACTGCACTGAAGGATCTCAGCATCAGGAAGGTTGGGAACCACAGCTTTAAATAATATTCCATGTGCTTACGATGTGGAAAGTAGTTTATTGAATTAAGGCCTAAGAGTGACTGTTTTTCTTAGGCTTTATATAATTGGTCTGATTAGAGTGTAAGTGACAAGTGACAGTGTCTTTATATCCGACAGATGCCATTTAGAACTCGCAGGGAGGCAAAGATACATCTCATTCCTACTCCCTGTGGGTCTTTACCTGTTCCCCTTTTCTGTTTTATTTATCTGTTGAAATGTGTATCTTGTTAAGTGTCTCTCAAAGACAAAATGTTTTCTTAGAACAATGTTAACAAGCCAATGGAAGCGTCCTTATAAAGTAAATCAGCACCGTCACCTACCTCGAGATTTGCTCATCTACGTCTCAGGATTTCTAAATGAATGGCTCAGCTGGGCCTGACCCTACACCCAGACCTGTTTTGTTCAGATTCCTGGAGGTATTTATGCTGCAAGATTGACGCTTCTCTGGTTGATGTTTTTGTCTGTTGTTTAATAAAAATGAAGCAGACATGCTATTTCCAGGATGTCAGACAATTTTTGATTAACGCCGAAATCATAGGTATTTCCTGATAATGCTTTGCATGCGTGGTGTGTTTTTAACAGTACCGACAAGGTACTGTGTGATCTTAGGTTGCTACAGTGTGGTACCCTTGTATGATATGGAGCCAGAATAAATCCCAGAAGCTTTCCCTCCTGTAGTTGTATCTGTGGTGATGTCTGCAGGGCTTTTCGGAGTGAGGCTGATAGCAGTTGGTGACCGTATCCGTGGGAAACAGGGTCATTATACGAATTTGGTTTCTCTTGTGTGTGCGGAGCTCAGTATCATAGGATTAAGCTATGAATGGAGTTTACTTTCCTAATTTTCAAATTTAGAAGAGATTACCAAGTTAGATATATTTTCTCAACAATTTTCTGTTTGATATTTATAATGAGAAATTTAGAAAATACTTAATTTTATACTTAATTTTTTATGAAAGCAATAAGGGAGAACTTATTAAAAATCAGACTAAATAAGAATGGCTGCTGGATTCTTGGTGAATAGATTAGGTTGGTTTTTGCTGGTAATAGTGTTTTATTTCATTTGTGGGATGATATATATAAAATCTATGGTGGATTTTTAATTTGCGTTTAAATGTAAGTTACCACAAATACCTAGCAAGTAAACAAGTTGCTTGAACACTCAGGAGATTAGTATGACCTCCTTGGGTTGTCGTTGAGTTGAGCTCCCTTGCTCATTGTACCAAACCTAGGCATTAGCAGAGCTAAAGATGGGAGCTCCTCTTGACATGGTGTTACCTCTCCCTTAAAACTGTCAAACAGCCGGATTGCTTACTCTGCACTTTTGAATGTGATCGCCGGTTAAGTTTTACCAACTGAAAGTATTCCTCACTCTGCCTAGGAGAACTACGGGTTTGATAAAATCGAGGTCCGGGACAACGGCGAGGGCATCAAGGCCGTGGACGTCCCTGTGATGGCCGTGAAGTACTACACCTCCAAGATAAACAGCCACGAGGACCTCGGGACCCTGACGACCTACGGCTTCCGCGGGGAAGCCTTGGGGTCGATTTGTAGTGTGGCGGAGGTGAGGAAATTTATGCCGGCTACTTTATTCATTTCATAGTGACAATTTATTGTTAGGGTAGCTTTAATTTTTTCACTTAAGGTAAAACACACTTAATAGGAAATTTATCCTTTTAAATAACAATTCAGTGGTGTTAGGTACATTCAATTATTGTACATTTATTAGCTATCCATTTCTAGGTCATTTTCCTCGTCCCAGGTTACAGCCCAGGACTCATTAAACAAAGCCCCTTCCTCCTCCCTCTTCTTCTCCATGTGGCAGGTACCATTCTACCTTGTGTCTCTACCAGTTGATGCTACAGGTGCCTCATAAAAGTGGAAACGTTAGACCTTTTGTGTCTGGCTTACTGCACTTCATATACTTTCTTCAGGGTTTGTGTCCGTCACGTTGTACCACATAAAGGGTTTCCGAAACCGGGTATGTTTACATCTGTAATTCTAGTGCCAGCGAGTCTAGTCTGGGCAGCGTAGTGAACTGTTTCAGTGTGTATATATTTTATTTATGCATTCATTTGGTATTGGCTTCTTGGCTGCCATGAACAGTGTTGCTCTGGTCACAGGTGTTCAAAGGTCTTTACCATAACAGCTTTTGGTGAAGTGGTCTTGGTATGTCCTGTGATAATTCCGTCTTTAGTATTCTGAGAAATAGTAACATGTGCTTTGAGGTACTATTGTTCCTTAGAGGAGGTTATTTAAGAGTCCCTTCACTTGGAAAGGTTATATTTCAAAAGGCCCACATTTAACTTTTTAGAGCCTTTATCTACCATAACCTAAGATTGCGAATCTAAAGGTAGTCTATAGTGTATATACTTTCCTGCACTTGCTTGATCAGGCAATCCTTGTCTTAGAAGGCATGCCCCTGACTTTGTTTTTAAGTCTATGGGATACACTGTGGATTTCCCACTTTGGTAAACATAGGCGATGAAATAGAGTTCGGCAGCTGTGGATTGACTTGTCCTACCTCATAGATACGAAGGGCCAGAGTGGACCCTGCCACTCTACTCAGTGACTGCGGGGTGGGCTCTTGTGATTTCTTTAAACCCCATACTTCAGTGCTTGGTCCACACAGTTGTCTGTACTGCTGCTGCTCCAGACTTCCTGATTGCCGTACCCTTAGTCCTCGTTCCTGTCACTTCAGTGGTTTCTGATTGTAGGACTTGAGTGGCCTCCTTTATTAAATTGTTACTGTGTGGAGTTGGGCCTGTTACTGTTGGAAGGTGTCTTGTGCTGGTAAGGGTGACCGTAACTGTGAGGCCATGGCCATATCATACTTGTGCTAAGGCCGGAAGGCCCTGCTTAGGTCAGAACGGTCAAGTGCCAGAAAGTAATGAAATAATGGTGTCTAATCACTCTCTGCTCATTGGATGTCTATTTAGGAGCCTGGTGTTCTCCAGATTCACTGTAGTCTGTGTGTGCAAGCGTGCGTGTGCATGCGCCTGTGCACGTGCCTGTGCTTAACCAAGGATTCCCTTACTTTCTAACTCCAGAGCTCTGTAAAGTGTTGCCCTTAGTAGGTTGGAGAAGCGCTGCAGAGGTGATGAGACCTCAGTGGGAAGCTCTGCTGCTAAAACAAAGAAGACCAGGCCCACTTCCTGCAGATGCTCAGAGCTCCCCTGAGGAGGAAGACTTAAGTACACTCCGCACCTTTCCCCAGCACCCAGCACACAATGTGCTTCTTTCTTTCCGTTACTCGGCACCTGCTTTATTTAGAATTCACTCGAGACTCCAGGTAGAGTTCGGAAAAGAGTAAATAGAGGGTACACCTGGGAATTGCCTGTCCTTCTTCTGGAGACTGTACACAGCAACCCACAACTTTGGAGCTGGTACAGAGCGCATTGTAAAGTAGAATAGGATTTGAAGCCTTGGAGCTTCCCAGTACCCGCCCTGTGCTTCGAGCTTTGATTGGCTACTTTAGAGCAGTAATATTTGGTCAGTTAGCTCCTGTCCAAACTAGCGGGTAGGATTTAAGCTCTACGTTTCGAGAGTATTGTCAGGAAATCTGTTTTGGTGTGTCTGTTTTCTGAAGCTCTGCCCGGCCTTGCAGAGGTCACACCAACTTTGTCTGCTAGGTGGCAGCTGTGCACTTAGTCTGCAGAAATGTGACCTCCCACTCCTACTGCGGCTCTGCTTTGCCTGGCAGTCCTGCTTGTCTGCTGCTGACTCTCTCGCTTGCTTGCTTGTTCTTTTTAGATTAGTTAAGTTCACTCAACACCCACATTTATCTCTTTGCCTTTTATGTTTGAGATATCCAAAAGGCCTCAAGAACAAATAGTTGAAATAATTTTACTCATCAGATTTATCAAAGAATTACTATTACAGAAATAGAGAAATTTCAATCTTTTGAACATTTAAAAGTTACAGTTTACATGTGGCAATGCTGTGTAAATTTATTTTAAAAACATTAAGACTTTCGCTTTCCAAATCTATTATAAACTCGCATACATATGTGTGTTTACATTTGTGTGTGCACAGACAACAGCTAAGCCTTATGTGTGTGTGCTCTAGATCACAGTAAAGGCATTTTCTATTGCTTCCGAAGGTTCTTTATGTCCATCCTCATTAACAGTCCTCAAAGGTCACCGCTTTCTGACTAGTGTTGGCTCAGGCCGGTTCTGCCTGTCTTTAACTCGATACAGATCAAACTTCTCCGCATGCTTTCTTTGGTCGTGGAGTCTGTAGACATGTAATGATTAGGCTTGATTGTACGTTGTGCACCTCAGTGCATGCCCAGAGTCCCTGCGTTAGGATGCTTGCTGCCAAGAGTGTTGCTTACTAACACGTCTCACATCTGGGTCTCCTTCACTTCATCAGAAGAGATCCATATTACCCAGGTCATACAGAGGTGCTCACCCCCGAAGGCTCCCCAGTGAAGTCCTGATCATTAACCTTTGTCTCAAAGTCTGGTTCATGGCTAAGCTTCTGTGTAGATCTTCCGTGGATTTATCTCTCCATATTACTGTTGAGGAAAATTCTTACAGACTTAAATGCCAAGTTTTCTTACCCCAATTTCAAAGCAGTCTATAATGATTCCTCATTGTAGTTGAGACGAAACCCTCTTGGGTCCTAGTGTTCTCTTAGTTCATCACAGTGCATGAATTACCCTGGGGTTGGTGGTACTGATGCAAGCAGGTTTCACTTCTGGTTCTACAGAGCATAGCACGTTAGTTATGTAAGACCCCAAGGCTTTTGGATGATGATCACTACTGTTCCTGAATTTCTCATTGCTACTTTTCAGTGAGTTCATACGACTTACCGAAACCGGGCGTGTACTGGAGCACAGCCTGTCTTGTTACACTGACTCTGTACCCCTCGTCTGTGCCTTGTTTCTTAGATACAGTGAGAGGATGTATGATACACAGCTACAGGCTTTCCTGCTCCGGACTCCAGTGTAGAAAACAGTATGCAGTTGTGCTTAAACCAGTGATAACTCAGTCGCTTCTCCCGGTCTGCAGGCTTTCAAGTATATTTACACTCCTCTTGTTGGGGAATCTTGTCTGAAAGTTGGTAGCCATTCATAGGCAAATTCCTCCTAATTTCCACCAAAGGTCTTCATTCTGTAGACAAGTTCATTATTTTTTGTCTTGTTCTTTCAAGTTGCTAGCCATTGTCTCCTGGTAACATTCATATTTGTTGACCATCCATGCAATAGGATCAGAGTGTTACAGTGCGCCTGGTATTACTCTGAGCAGTCCCGCTCATTAGATGTCAATCTGTAGAGAGACAGCACAGGATCTGTAGTGGTGTTTGAGCCCCATGCTTAGAGGGGTAGACTCAGAAGCTAGGAGAGCCATAAAGCAGCAGGAAAGAGCGTCAGCCTTGAGGCTGATGGCAAGCAAATAAAACCTGTGTCCTGGTACTGAACCTGTTGCTGGTCTCCCCACATGGAAGTTTCTGGAAATGTGGAAGTCAGGGGACATCCATTAGTGTATGTCTGCATAGCCAGGCAGGTAGGCATCTCAGCCTCCGGAAAGAGAAAGCCGTTTGGTCATCCAGGCAGAAGCTCACCCTTTCCCTCAGTCGTAAAGGCTTTATCTTAGCTCCCAGACTCGTGTCTCTGTGCTAGAGCATCGATTCATCCACAAGTCAGGCTGCGGCCGCTGGTGGAGCTCTGCTAGAGCACCTGCCAAGCATGTGCAGGACTCTGGAGTCAAGTCCTGAAACCAAAGAAACAAACCAAAAGCCAGCTCCACCTCAGTAAAAAAGGAAAAAAAAATCAGGCTTATCCCCATTGTCTTGGATGAATTTGGGAGAGGAAGACTTTGACTTGCCCTGCCAGGATGTGTCCTAAGAAACTTGGTTTACATATCACCTAAATCCTGTAGGAGACTCTGCCTACATAGGATTGAGATCCATTTTTGTGATGTTAGTTTTATAATTGGGCCCACTTTTAGTAAGAGAGCACATATAGTCCTGACAGGCCTCTGGAGAATTCTTAAATTCCTGATGTCACAGGGCTCACTCTCTTCCTCAGTTGCTCAGTGTCCCTAGAAAGAATCCCCAGTGGTTGTGTGTGATGTCAGAGACCCTGATGGTAGTGCCGGGCACAGGCTCCTGCCGCACTGCTTACGTCCTGTGACCCTGGCCTGTCCAGCACGAGGTTCCCTGCCTGGGATATGGGGCCACGTGCTGAGATGAACCCTTGAAATATAATTCCTTCCTCCGAGGGAATTTATAAAGCAGGGTTTTATGTGTTTTCCTCCCTGTCTTACCATATATCACAAAGCATCTTCCAGATGAATAAACTTCCATAGTGCCCTGAAAACTGACATTTTGGAAATTTTATTGTTGGAAACCATAGTACGCTTATTTTTTTTTTTTGAAGTTTAACATAAATGTTAATATTGTAGCACTAAAATCCTGTTTCCTTTCTTTGAACTTCAGCTTCTTCATCTAGGTTGGTGTGGGTTTACTGTTCACTGATATGTTTAAAGCACGAACAAGTTAGTGTCATAGCAGATGCGCGCAAGCGTTTAAACCAAGTCCGTGTAACCTTACGAAGCCTTCGATCTCTGTCTTCCCATCACCTTCCTGGAGGTGAAAGTGTAATCCCTTTCTCAGGACCATCCTGAATGCACTAGAAGGGTTTGTACTGGAACTCAGAGCTGCCCTTGCTCAGTGACACCAACATGACATCAGGTGACCAGCTCTTTGGAGAATAGAAATAGAATTCACTTTGACCTTGGCATTTTGGAGAAGCAGTTGTTTACATGGAGAATTATTTATAAAGGGGTAATTGTGGAATAATAAGACAGAAAAAAAATACCACTTACTGTTCTCTTTGTTTTTGGTAAGCAAAACCAATAATGCATTGGATAATTTAGAGCAGGGGCTTGACAGGGAAGGTCAAGATTGAAGTTCTGCATCATCAATCTATGGAATGGAGTAGAGCAGCTGGAATACACAGATGCATACATCTTTGTCTTAGGTAACATCCTTTGTTTCCATTTTTTGAATAATTATCATGCAAATAGTAGCTTGAGCAAGTGCCCCTAGTGAAAGTTGGATAGACATTTCAGAACTGATAGTCTCTGCTAGTTCTCCAGCTAACAAAGATCTTTATTTATCTATTTCTCATCTACTTATTAATCTAGTGTCTATCCATATCAATATATCCCTATGTAGCTCACATAATATATATGTATATACCCATATACCCCCCACACACATACAGAGAGAGAGAGAGAGAGAGAGAGAAATGGAGTAGGGTCTGGTGGGGGAGGGTGATGGTGGTGGTGGCGGCAGTGGTAGTGGCATTATACTGGTACCCACACATGGTGCCCGTGTGTTCCACAGAACATCTGGCACCGATAAATCTACCAAGGGCAGATGGTAGAACCATCAAGTACAGACTCTAACTGGACCCAGAGGAGCCCCCGCAGTGCAGCTGGGTTCTGTACGTTCTGTTGTGCTGAATCAAGGAGAGCCACGGGAGGTGACTCCTATCACAGGGCTGCTCTCCCGGTCCATCTTGCTTTCCCTGACTGTATCCCCGCTCTTCACCCTTGCTTTTTGTCTGTTTTTCATTTTATTTTCCATCAGGGCTGTGTTTCCTGCCAGGTAGATAAATAAGATGTGGGATGTAGGTAGTTCAGAAAAGTACAGGATTCTTAAATTTCTATTTTCACAGATGGCATCATAAGGAGGTATTTTGATATTCTATGCTCATATGCTTAACGCTGACTTTTAATTAATGAAAATTTTACTCTTAAACATTGAATTTTCAACTTGAGTTTAAGAAAAATATCCTTAAATACTTATATATATATTTTGAATTTTACTATTTGAAACTATAAACTTGAAATTCAGAAATGTTTTGTATAAAATACATAAGGGAAGAAAATGATTACTAAACAATTACTCATTTCTCCTTCTCCATAAATTTTATGGGAATTATTAAAAAGCAGATACCCTTGGTACAATTAAAGTGTTTTCTTTTACATTTGTGAATCATATAATACAAATGGCCACTTGAGGTATAGTGGTTTGTGTTTTAATTAAATGCTCAAATATTAATTTAGTTGCAATGTAAAAGAAATCACATGCTGCCTTCACTTGTGATGGCTCACGCATTTAATTTCATCTCTTGGGAGATAGAAGCCAGCCTGGTCTACAGAGCGAGTTCCAAGGCCAACTGGGCTACACAAAGAAACCCTGTCTTCAGAAAGCATACAGACAAACCCCAGCCTGTTGTGTTGTTTCAAAGTGTAACTCCAAAAGTTACTACCAGAGAAGTTTTCACAGTAATTTATCAAGCCAGGGATTGAAGCCACATTTAGTATTTAAGATCATGTGCTGTTCTTTGAGAAGGCCTGAGTTCAGTCCTAGCACCCTCCTGGAGGTTTACAGTCTCTTGTAGCTTCATCACCGAGGGACCTGAAGCCTCTGGCCTCCCGAGGAACCTACACACGTGTACACAATCACATACCTGCACACACGTGTACATACTCACACACACTGCACACGTGTGTACATAATCACACATGCACACACGCCCCTTTACACTCACCCCTGCACACATATGTGCATAATCACACTTGCACACTCACTCAATTAAAATAAAGTAAATCTTTGAAAAAGAATTATCAAGTAATATCTTCTTCAATATTAATATGTGGTAATATTTTTGTTTGCTTTCCTCATTTCTTCTGAGACAGGGTCTCTCCTCTGGATCCCACCTAGTCTGGAACTCACAGCAATTCTCCTGCCTTAGACCCTGAGTGCTAGAGTAGTAGGCATTGCTTTCCTTGCCAGCTTTGTGATCGTTATCTTTATTGCCACAGATAAATAAATGATCCCTTTGGTGGGTTGCAGTGATAGATTCTCGTGATCCCAAGGACTCAGAAGGAGATGTGAAGATCCTGAGTTTGAGATTAGTCTAAACTACATAGGAAGATTCCATCTCAAATCAGGAAAAAAGATAAAGGCGGGAGAGAGTGGTCACCGCGGTAGTTTGAAATACAAGTCCTTTTGGTTTGGTTTGTTTCCAGGTGGTAGTCACAACAAGGACGGCTGCTGATGACTTTAGCACCCAGTATGTGTTAGATGGCAGTGGCCACATACTTTCTCAGAAACCCTCACATCTTGGTCAAGGTAAGTGAGTGCTTTGGAGCATATTTTCCTGACTGTTATTATTATTATTATTATTATTATTATCATCATCATCATTAAAAGAGTTTTGTCTTGAATTTAAACAGGGTTTTGGGTTGGTCTTGATGAAATCTGGTCATCCTTCAAGGAAGCAGATCCGTCCTGAAGAGCGGCCAGTTAAGACTGGGTGCCTGGGTGACTTGCTGTGACACCAGTTGTTGTCCTGGTGTTGGGTCACCACTGTCACCTCTGCAGACGCAGGACAGGAGCCCCCTGAAGTACCTAAAGTGTCAGTGTCGTTGATTTGTAATGACTGTAACCCCAAGGTACTATGACTGAATAAGTCGACAGCGTGTGTATGAATGGAAAACTTCGTACATAGGCCTGGGGTAGGCGAGTCGTGTGATAGCTGTCAGCTCCCAGTTACCAACCTTCCACCGCAGTCCTGCCCGACACCCGTCCACTCCTTACTCTGTGCTGTTCTGCGATAAATCATTATCAGCCATCTTCCTATTATTGTGCATTGTTTTATGCGCGTGTGTATGTAGTTTGACTTGTATATTTGCAAGTTTTCTAAGAACTAATCCTCAGGTAGAAAATGGTCTCTTTCGTCTAAGTTCACTAAAGCGCCTAAGCTTTTCCCAGCATGGATGGGTAACGCGGAGACGGTGTCAAAGGTGGCTCCCCTGGAGAGTGAGGTCGCAGCATCCCTGCTCTGTGAAGGGCTTGTGGGGGAATTGCTGCTGTTCCCCTCCTCCCACCTAGGCTGTTGATTTTCACTTTATGGCTCCTTGCTTTAATTGATCAAAGTATTTTAATTTTTGTGGTTTCGCTTTAATGTTAATTTATTGTCTTTACTTTTAAAATAACGGCTTCAGTCTTTATAAAATTTACTTTTTTAAGTCTGGTAAGTCCACTCACTCTGCCTCTAATTTTGAAAATTGTCAGCATTGTTAGTGATTACATTTGCTCATTAGAAATTTACCATTTTTTTGTATTCACAGGGGAAGAAGGACTAATAGGAAATTCTAAGAAAACTCATTTACACCCCACTTGTTCCTAGTCAATAAAAATAAACTCATCTATAATTAGTTTGCTATGTAATAAATGCTATATATTTTAGCTAAGTAGTACATTATTATCTTTTCAATATGTGTTAAGCAAAGATAAGTCTAACTTGATTTTACTTCTTAAATATCTTCCCTTTTTAGAAATCCTCTGAGCCTAGATCTTCAAAGTTCAAATTAGGAAAGCACTAGAAGGCGTTCGTCCTCCTAGGAGAGGACCGTGAAGTAACCCTGTCGCCTTATAAAACTTAAAAGTATTTATTTTTATCTCGGCGGTGGCCGGTCTGATCTGGGTGGCCCGTGGCTCTGTATCATCAAACTTCTCCTGCTTTTCTGTGTTCGTCTCCATGGGAACTGTGAAATAACAATCCTTAAGGAAGGGCTGCATCTGATCTCTGCCCTTTCACCGGTTGATTCTTCTTTTTCTACTGACGTCAGTCTTGCACCTTCCGTGAGTTAAATTAGGTATGCGTGCTGAGGAGGTTTTGTAGTCGCTGAATGCATCTTATTTTCATTAGCCTGTTTCATAACTCGGGAGACAACACACTGAAAGGTCAGCAGTTACAAAATCAGTACGACTTTTTAAACTCACTTTTTCCACCTAACTAGACCCGATTGCTTAGGTAACAGCAACAAAAAAATAAAGAAAATCTAAACTTCAGATTGCTCTCGGGAGACAAATTATACAACTCTGTGCTGAGTAAATGTGCCTTGCGGTAGCGTTGCTTCGTGTTGATGGTTGTGAGCCACTGAATCGCAGACTCACATTTCACCAGCTGTCATTAGCTTCCATTTAAATATTTTCTCTGTAAGATAAAACTGCAGTTCAGCCATCCTCATTTATACCTGTGCATCTAAGGTTCTTAGGCTAAACGCCACTGCGATGTGAATGCCCTTAGAAGTTCCTCTTCGTGTCATCTGGTGAGATGGTACCTGCAGATGGCACACATAGCCACAGGGACAACCTCCGATAAAATCTCAACTAGACACTGAAACGTACCTATTTAAATGTGGTTGACAGAAGATTTCTGTTTTGCTTTTTGGGTGCAGATATTTGATTTATGGATTATTTTAGCCATTGAAGGTGATTTTGGTTTCAATGCTTGTTATTTTAATTGTTCTTCTCATCTCTTCATTACACTTATAAACAACCTGGTTTTCTTTCTTTTCCTCTTTAAAATATTTATTTTTAATTGTACGCCAGTGTATCTGTGTCTGCGTGTCTGTGTGTATATGCCTCCCACTTCTGTATTGGTTTCTGCAAGGACCAGGAGAGGCTGTCTGATTGGCTGGGGCTCTAGTTAAGTTACAGGAGTTGTGAGTCACCTGAGTGGGTGCTGGCAACTGAACTCTGGTCCTCTTCAAGACCAGCACAGTCTTTTCTATTTTCCCTCACCATGGAAGGTGAAACTGTAATTTTTATCAAGAGGGTGCCGTATACACAGAAGTAGAGCAAGCACACTGACAGGAAGTGCACTAGAGCAAGCACACTGACA